TCATCAATCACTTAGAACGTAATGAAAATGAACAGCTTCTTTATATATAAAAGCTAAATTTATTTTTTATACATTTTACAAAAGCGGAAATTGTATTGGAAATTTTTTCCACTCTATAGGGAAAGAGAAAATTTTATTTATCTTTATTTGTAAAAATTTGAAATATTTCTTCCGCTTCCATAATTTTACTGAATTTCTTTTTCCATACATATATGTACATATGTGTTGTAAATAAATTTTTTAAATTATTTCCATAATAAAAACATTCATATAATTTAAACAAAGTGTTGAATGCTTTTTATGCGAATACATTTTGTACGCTATTCATCAAAGTATTTATACATATGTATTTAATTATCGTATATATGTACGAAAAAGGTCCAAATAACAATGAAAATATATGTAGCAAAAAAATTTCTTTGAATGAAAAAAAAATTATTTGAATCAATAAAATGGTTTACATGTCTACTATCAATTAAATAAATTATATATAAAATTTATTTGAACTAAAAGTAAATATTTACTGGTCCAAGAAAATCATAATCATAAAAATAATAAATTATTCCCAGAAATTCAATTATGTTCAACAATTTTTTTTAATTCTCTTCAAAATTTCATGTATCTTTATAAATTTAATGATGAAATTTTTCCTTCAAAATTCAATTATTTTCAAAAATTTTAATAAAATTCTTGGCAATATTTTAATTATTTTCAAAAAATTTTTCTCAATTCAATGATTTTCAATAACTACCTATTTTTAAAATTTCAATTATTTTCAAAAATTTCTCTGAATTCAATGATTTTCAATATCTAACTATTTTAATAAAATTTTCCAAAAAAAATTCAATTATTTAAAACAATTTTCATAAAATTCTACGCAAACATTTAACTATTTTCATAAATAATAAAAATTTCACAGGAATTCAATTATTTACATACAACTTTTTTTTTATAAATTTCTTCGCAATAATTCAATTATTTTCATAAATAATAAAACTTTTTACAGGGATTCTGTACAATTAATTTTTTTTAAAAAAGTTTAATTGAATTTTTTAAAAAATTATTTGAATATTTTATTTTCTAATATATAATGAGAATTTTCGAATAATGGAAATTTCGTAAAATTGAGTCGCAAACAAATGAATTTGAAAATTCTGAAAAAACTTTTTCAAAAACTATTAAAAATAATTATTGATTTAAATAGAAGAATTTATTTTATAGTTAAAATTTCTAGAAAATGGTAGCTGTTCACTTTTTCTAAAAAAATATTTATTATTATTTAATCTTTTTTGTTTAAAAAAGCGATTTCCAATGAAATTTGTTATTTATTTTCCTGAAATTTTACAATTTTGATAAAAGTTGAAATTCTTCCTCCAAAATTCAATTATTTTCAAAAATTTTAATAAAATTCTTGGTAATATTTCAATTTTTTTCAAAATTTTTTCTCAATTCAATTATTTGCAATACCTATTTTAATAAATTTCAATTATTTTCAAATATTTTACTCAATTCAATGATTTTCAATATCTAACTATTTTAATAAAATTTTGAAAAAAAAATTTCAATTTAATTATTTTCATAAATAATGAAAATTTCACAGGAATTCAATTATTTACAACTTTTTTTTATAAATTTCTTTGCAATAATTTAATTATTTTCATAAATAATAAAAGTTTTTACAGGGATTCTGTGCAATTAATTTTTTTTTGAAAAAGTTTAATTTAATTTTTTAAAAATTATTTGAATTTTTTATTTTCTAATACCTATATTATAAGAATTTCCGAATAATCGAAATTTCGTAAAATTGAATCGTCAACAAATGAATTTGAAAGTTTAGAAAAATTTTTTTCAAAAATTATTAAAAATAATTTATTTATAAACGAAAGAATTTTATAGTTAAAAATTCTAGAAAATGGTAGCTGGTCACTTTTTCTAAAGAATATTTATTATTATTTAATCTTTTTTGTTTAAAAAAAGCGATTTCCAATGAAATTTGTTTTTTTAAAAAAGTTTTTCTAACAAGTTTTGATTTTTAAAATTAAAGTTTTTTTTAAAAAGTTAGGGTAGAGTGGGGTAAAAAAGCCACATTTTTACTTTTGATGCTGTAAAATCTGTATTTAAAATTTTTTTCTCAAATTTCCAATTGTTATTGAAAGTTTTGTTTTTAAGCTTGAAAATTCTTGACGAAAATAATTTTTATCTCATGAAAGGACTAAGTTATAAGAGTTTTACGAAAGCACTGTAAGTGGCTTTTTTGCACCACCTGGTGGGGTGAAAAAGCCACTTTACGATTTTAGCAAAACATGTTATCAATTTAGGTATTTTTATAGTTTTCCTTTATTTATATGACAAATAGTCTTATTTCAAAAATATTTTAATAATTATGAAAGAGTTTTTAGCAAGCAAAATTGAAAATTATATTAAATTTACCTGTTTTCGATTTGCACTGCCAATTTTTCGTACCTTTCTTAGAAGTTCTCTTTAAGTTTCACCACAGATAATATATTTCGTTGCAACCGTTTATTCATTGTTTATTTTTTTAATGCACTTTGAACTACTTTTTCGTCGTGTTTAATTAATTTTATTAAATAAACACGAGAAATTTTGTAAAATAAGAAGGTTAGTTTAAATAGAAAACAAGTGAATTTCACAAAATATTCAATGGATTTTTTGCCCTGGCTTTTTTACACCCAAGACCAGTTATTAAAAAAAGCAAAAATAAATTGTTAATTCAGTTCAATTTCCAAAAATCAACATTGTATACGTTTTCGGTATACTTTTCTCCTTATGTACAAACATTTACTTTTATTATTCGTTCACTTAATCAGACTGTAATATGTTTAAAAAGTTCACCAAAATGTTTTCAAAAAAGCAACAAAAAATTAAAATTACAATAAAAACAATATTAATCTAGGTACAACATTCAAACTAGATTCAAAAGTTGCGTATTACCTAATAGTATTTATATTCTAAACAGCTGATAAATCGGCTTAATAGTTTTTAAATAAAACTCAAATGGCTTTTTTACACCATGGCTTTTTTACCCCACTCTACCCTATGTATGTTTTCTAATATTTATTTTCCTGAAATTTGTGAAATTTTACAATTTTGATAAAAGTTAGAAAATTGTTAAAAAGTTAATATTAGGAAATAGAAATTATTTTGAATATTTTTTTTTGTTTTATCACAATTCTGTTGACAAAATTATGATTTTTTAATTTCTTTTCGAAAAAGAAGAAAAAATTTTGCAAAATTCCTATTTCTAAACAAAATTTTTTAACAAAATTCTGTTCTTCTTTGAAACAAAGAAACAATAATTTGCATCATTTTTATACAAAAATTTCCAAAATTGATATATATTTATAAAACATTTGTTTTAAAAAATTTTAAATCTCTTTAGGAAAAAAATTTCTACAATTTCTACATTGTTAATTACGATTTTCAACGAGATTATTTAAAAATTTTGTTACAAAATTTGCATAATTTCTATTTTTTTATTGAAATTTTTTAACGAAATCTCAAGTATTGTTTTTAAAGAATGAAAAATTTTTTAAAAATGTAATTTTTTAATCATATATACATTACAAAAAAGTCATTACAAAAATTGAATATTGTTAGAAGTTTTTTTTTAAATTACCTTTATTAGAGAAATAAATTTTTACAAAATGACCTTTTATTAGAAAAAAGAAAATTAGAAAAACTTTATCAGAAAAAAGTTTTTTTTTAGAAATTCACCTTATTATTAGAAAAAAAAAACTTTTAGAAAATAAAAAATAAAACATGAAGAAATCGCTCATTCCGAGTCGAAGACTCAGAGTGATCGATAAACTTCATGTTTTATAATAAAATATAATATTTTTATGATTTGTTGAATTTCAATCTTTTGAAGAATTTTAATTCCTATGGAAAAATTATAATTATTAAATATTTATCTAAAAAAAAATTTATTCATGTTTTCGAATATTTTTATACTATAAAAGAAATTTTATTAAAATTATATTGAGAAAATAATGTGAAGAATTTTATTTTATGTATGAAAATAATTGAATTCTTGCAAATTTTTTCGACTAATTCAATGAAAATTGTATTCGTTAATAATTGCAACTCGTGCTAACAATTTTATTAAATTTCTTTGAAAATAATCGAATTGATATAAAGAACTTTATTAAATTTTTTAAAAATAATCGAATTGTTATATATAAAGAATTTTATTAAAGTAAAAGAAATTCGTAATTATATAATAGAACAATTTTTTTTTAATATCCAATAATTTTTAGAGTGAATAAGAATATTTTTTAAGGTCAGGGAAAAAGTCAAAATTTTATCTTGAAATCAGGGTAAAAGAAAATTGAATTTTGTTTAGCATCTCAAAGATATTAGTATTAAATAAATTAATATTTATTACATTGAATTAATTATTTCTCTGATCCAATTAAAATTTATTTGTTTCAAATCAATCTAATTCGAATAATTCAAGTCATTTGAATGAAATATAAATTTTTTAGTATCCAAATAAAAATTAGCTGAAACAAATAAATATTTTTCAAATAATTTTCAATTAACTGAATGAAAATTGAAATAAATTTTTTTTCCTGTATATATCGTATCGAATTAAACATAATAATTTAGATTAAAATAGACAAAAAGTTTGATTCAATACAAATTACGTTGAATTAAATTTTTTTTTCAATTTTTAAAAAAAATATATTTAGTTTAGATTTTTTTTTATTCGACATTATTTATTTTTGAATTAAAAAAAATTTTTCTTGTAATATTTGTAACAAAGTGTAATATTACAATAAATATATACACAATTAATAAAACAATTAATAAACTATATACACAATTGATACCTTATATATAACGGGGAGTTGAATTTGCGCATGCTGTTTTTAAAAGAGGCTATCTCTCTCTAAAAGCCCACCAGGAAGGGGTTGTCTAGCACGTGCTGTATATAAGCTCCAGCAACATTGAAAATTCTGTCATTAAGCTACGGTTAATGCCGCGTACAAGTTTCCCTCTTCCTCCAAATTTCATCTCAAATGTGAGATATAAACATTTATTACAAATCGTGACTGAAATTCCCCCCTCCCTCTCCAAACAAAAACAAATAATAAAAAAAGGTGCGCGTAAAATTTAGAAAAAAAAAAAAAAATTTGTTCCCTAATAGAGCAATGTCCTTAAGCAACAATACAAATCCAAAAGTTTTGTTGTCCGATGAACAATCAATTAAAACTGAATATATTGTAGCAGGTGTATTGCTCGCTATTATTGGATTTTTTGGATTTTTTCTCAACTTACTGGTCATTGTTGTCATTATTAAAGATGCAAGAAATCTTTGGACACCTGTTAATGTCGTTCTTCTTAATATGGTGGTGGGTTTTTTTTTTATTGCCAACAAAGAAACAAACAAAAAATTTGACTTCACTTTACAGCGAAGGATCAATATACAATATGTCCTTGTTTCCAATCAGTTTTCTTTGACAAAAAATTTGTGCAAAAAAAAAAATGTCTATTGTGAACTCTACGGACAATTTATTCTTTTATGTGTAGGTACGAAAAATCATATCACCGACACACAGTGCATATTGAAAAAAAAGTATAGAAATAAAATCAATTTTTTTTTAAATCCTATTTACTTTTCATTTTTCTCTATGATTTTACATATTTTTTTACATGTTCTTATGCAATTTAGTTTTCAATTGTCAATTTCTTCTATACTTAAAATTGAATATATCGTTTTCAATACAATGTATTGAATATTTTCGATCTTTTATTTTTTTTTTTTTTATTCAATTTTTATTTTTCTCAAAGTTCACGTAACTTTTATTCTATGATCAACGATTCAATAAGAAAAAAAAATAGTTTGTAAGTAAACTTACATAAGGAATGCATCAAATTGTCATGTTTTATGAATGTTTTTATAAATTTTTGCTTGACAACAATTTTTCACACAAATTTTTTTTTCTGCTCAACTATTAAAAATTTAGTTTTGTAAAAAAAATTATTTTTTCTTTCTTAATAAAAAATATTTGATTTCTAGATGAAAAATACTTTTTTTCCAACGTTTTTAAACATTGATTATAAACGTTGTGAACTCGCTTACATTGTTTTCTCATAGATTTTTTTTTTAAATTCTTTACAAGAGTTTTTTGGATCAACTATTAAAAAGAAAAATAATTTAGTTCTTTAAAACTTTGTATAAAACAGAAAAATTTAATTCTTTAAAGCTTTATGCAAAAAAAAAATAAATAAATAAGAAGAATTTATACATACTAATTTTTTTACTGTTTTCTAAATGAAAAATATTTTTTTCTTTTAAAGGAAAATAACGTTAATGGATTTATGAACGTTGTAAATTTTGCCTACGTTATTTTTTCATAAATATTTTTTTTAATTTTCATCTAAAGAAATTTTTTACTGTAGTTTTCTGTTAAAAAAGCAAAAAGGAAAAATTTATAATTAATTTCTAGATGAAAAATATTTTTTCCCCTTTAATCGTTGATTATAAACTTCGCCAACGTTTTTTTTTATGTAATAAACACAATTTCTTTTTTTTATTTTGAATCAAAATTCAATTTTTTTATTTTCAATCAAAATTTATAAATGAATCGTTTAAATTGGATTATTTTTTAATTTTAAATCTACTATTAAATATAATAGTAATTTCAAATTTACTATTAAAATAGTAAATAGTTTATAAAAATAGAAAAACAGTCAATTTCCAAAAAAATAGCAAAAAAAAATTGTTTTTATCAGGAAACTATTTTTCTTTTTTAAATTTGCAGTGAGAAATTTATTTCAGTTTATTGAATGTACAGTAAAGTTTGACTAAAGAATTAAAGTTAAATTGAAAAGTGAAGAAGAAGAAGAAAAAGAATAAGAAAATAGTTAAAGTTGACTTACAAGATTTATATGTGAAAAACAAAAAATAATTAAACGTTTTTTCATTGAAATTTCGATTCAATGACCTGAAAAAATTTGATTTCATATTAAACGGTTAGCTATTTAAATATAATATATTATAAAGAAAATATTTATTTTTTCTTGAGCCTAATGGTCCAGAAACGAATTTGCTTTCCACATCTTTTCCTTTATATGCGAATCATCATTTCACACGTTCTTTCAACTTTACACTTCCTAATTTTGGATATTTAAAGTTAAACATTTAAACAAATTCCAGTAGAATATTTACTTGAACCAAATTATTTTTATTCAAATCAATTTTATACCAAATAATTTTATAAATGTTTAAATTCAACTAGAAAAAAATGAACTAAAAAAATATTGAAACTAATAATTTATGTAATTATACAATTTAATTTACTCACAAATAATAATTTTTAATTACCAATGAAGAATTATTTGATAAACATAAAAAATATTAAATATTAATAATTAATAATAAAAAAAATCCATTATTAACAAAAAAAAAAATATAAATATTCGATAATAAGGAAACAATTAATTAAATCCAAATTTGGTTAGTGAAACATTATTAAATTTTTAATTAATTAATTAATATTAATTAACACGAAAAACAAAACAAATAAACGAATCGATAAACCAAACATTAAAATAAAAATTATTTATAAATAATAAATGCGAAATTTACTTAGTGAAAAAACATGAATATAATTTAATTAATTAATATATATTGATATCGAATTTAATAAATTAGTACGAAATACGACAATATCCGGAATTCAATATTTGTCATCGAGTTTATCAATAATAAAATTTTCGAAAATAATTGCCAAATGAAATTAAAATATATGGTTTATTTTTGTAAAACAAATTACTCGGATTTAGTTTTAGTAGGTCAGCTGAAATTTTAACTGATTGTCATTCAAATTATGACTGATTGAAATAAATCAAATTCACAGCGTGCTATTTAGTCATCTTTTAATTTTAACTCATTTTCAACAAACTAATAATTTTAAACCTGAACCTATAAACTGAGTTTGAATTTAAATTCTTTAATGTTAATTTACAAAATAAAATGTTTATATTTAATTTTTTATTTAAAATACGAAAAATATTCTAATATTTCTCGAAGAAAGCAAAAAAGAATATTGGGCAAAATAAGCTTTTTTGCATTATAATGATAAGAAAAATTAATTTACAAATAAAATGTTTATATTTAATTTTTTATTTAATATACGAGAAAAATGGAAAAATATTCTAACATTTCTCGAAGAAAAGAAAAAAGTAATTAGGTAAAAAATAAACTGTTTGCGTTATACAATGATAAGAAAAAAAATTATAATGATAAGAAAAATTAATTTACAAATGTAAAATGTTTGTATTTAATTTTTTATTCAATATAATACGGAAAAAAATGAAAAAATATTGTAAACATTTTTCTCGAAGAAAAGAAAAAGTAATTAGGTAAAATAAACTTTTTGCGTTTAACAAGACAGATTATAATTTGGATGATGAGAAAAAAAAGTAACCATTTATTATTGGAGAATCGTCGAGTAAAGACAAAACCAAAGAAAAAAGAAGAAGAAAAAGAAGGAACGTTATAATGAAAAAATTGAGGAAAAAATAAAAGTTGATCAAAAGAAAGCTAATTTGGCCTATTAAAATTGACTTGACATTTTAAAGGAAAGTGAATAAATAAAGATAAAAAAAAGCAAGGGGACCAAGTTAATTAAAAAAGTTTTCAAGGAGCAGTGTACATAAAATTTCAATTTTCTTAAATTTAAATTCACCACTTAGTTTTTTGAGCAGGGTAAACGAATCGTTTATCACGACTCTTTTAGTTATACATACGTAAATGGTTATTTAATTATTTTTTAATTCCATTTAATTTAATCATAAATTTAAATATCATTTTTTAAAATATTTTTTCCCAATAGGCTAATAATAATAACTGTATAAATAAAAAATAAAAAAATTTATTAGTCATGGGTGTCAGAAAATTTTCGGAAAATGAAATTTGGTGTCACCTGATATTTCACGTATACCAAACCTATATTTAACTGTATGGAATATAATTACGCGAGACTGACTCAAAATGTATGGAGTCACGTACGCTAATGATATTTTTATGACCGTGTCTAACCTATTGTTTAAATCCTTGCATAAACTTTTTCTTTCAAAATGGTAAATAATCGCCTGAATGAAAATTAATTGAATTAAATATCATTATAGTTTTTTACAGCTTGTGAAAAATTCACGGAAAAATTACAATCGCGAATGATGATAAATTAATATTTATACTTAAAAGGATTTATTTATTATTTATTTTGCACATTTATTTATTATTTATATTACTTACTTATTTTTCATTTATTTACATTCAATTTTATAGGAATAAAAAATGGTCCTAAAATTCTGAACGTTCAAATGAACGATATTTATGTATTTTTTCTTTAAATTAAATTTTTATTACAATAATTTTGCGCCACTATAAAAAAATTAATTATAAAGTTTTCACATTTAAAATTAAAATTTTTTAATTTTTATTCGAATCAGTAATTTTTGAAAATACGATTATTAAAAAATATTTCGCTCATTTGAACGTTCAAAACTTGTGGATCAATAATAAAAATAAAAGAAAAGCAAAATAAAAAATGAAAATAAATAAAAAGAGGTTTTTTTTTTATTATTATAAGCCCGTTGGTAATAAATAAATAAAATAAGCATAATAAAAAACTAAAAAAAAGAGATTTTTATTTTTGCAAATCTGTTGATAATAAATAATTAAATAAATAAAAAACGATCAAAACAGAAAAATAAATAAAACGGACGTTTTTATTTCTGTAAGCCCGTAATATGCTAATAATATCTAATTAAATAAGAAAATTATATTAAACAGCAGAAAAATAAATAAAAAAGTCGATTTTTATTTTTTTAAACCTTGATAACAAATAATTAATTAAATAAATAAAATAATACAAGAAAAGCAGGAAAATAAATAAAAAATGTGAATTCTTTTTGTAAACCTGTTGCGAGAACAAATAATTAAATAAAATAAACATTATAAAAAGAGCAGAAAAATAAATATAAAACAGTCGTTTTTTTATTTTTGTGAGTCAGAAGATAACAATAAATAATTAAATAAAAAAAGAGAAAAATAAACAAAAAAAAATTGCTTTTTATTTGTTTAAGCCCGTCGATAATAAATAAATAAAAAATAGAAAAATAGAAAAATAAAAAAAGTCCATTATTAGATATTTTTCACGAAGAGTAAAAGGCGGGGGTGTCGAACTTCACCTCTTTCATCAAAACTTTCTATTGCTATATTAGAGCACTAATTTCCTATGAGACGTAAAGAAAAACATTTTCATTTTCTTTTTTTTATTACCAAAAGAAAAAACTAAATTTTCTCTTACAAGACATCGATATATATCTCTAATAGAAGAAA